ACTTCCTGTCCTCCGACTCCTTCCGACCTCCCGTCCTCCTACTCCCTCAGACTTCCTGTCCTCCGACTCCTTCCGACCTCCCGTCCTCCTACTCCCTCAGACTTCCTGTCCTCCGACTCCTTCCGACCTCCCGTCCTCCTACTCCCTCAGACTTCCTGTCCTCCGACTCCTTCCGACCTCCCGTCCTCCTACTCCCTCAGACTTCCTGTCCTCCGACTCCTTCCGACCTCCCGTCCTCCTACTCCCTCAGACTTCCTGTCCTCCGACTCCTTCCGACCTCCCGTCCTCCTACTCCCTCAGACTTCCTGTCCTCCGACTCCTTCCGACCTCCCGTCCTCCTACTCCCTCAGACTTCCTGTCCTCCGACTCCTTCCGACCTCCCGTCCTCCTACTCCCTCAGACTTCCTGTCCTCCGACTCCTTCCGACCTCCCGTCCTCCTACTCCCTCAGACTTCCTGTCCTCCGACTCCTTCCGACCTCCCGTCCTCCTACTCCCTCAGACTTCCTGTCCTCCGACTCCTTCCGACCTCCCGTCCTCCTACTCCCTCAGACTTCCTGTCCTCCGACTCCTTCCGACCTCCCGTCCTCCTACTCCCTCAGACTTCCTGTCCTCCGACTCCTTCCGACCTCCCGTCCTCCTACTCCCTCAGACTTCCTGTCCTCCGACTCCTTCCGACCTCCCGTCCTCCTACTCCCTCAGACTTCCTGTCCTCCGACTCCTTCCGACCTCCCGTCCTCCTACTCCCTCAGACTTCCTGTCCTCCGACTCCTTCCGACCTCCCGTCCTCCTACTCCCTCAGACTTCCTGTCCTCCGACTCCTTCCGACCTCCCGTCCTCCTACTCCCTCAGACTTCCTGTCCTCCGACTCCTTCCGACCTCCCGTCCTCCTACTCCCTCAGACTTCCTGTCCTCCGACTCCTTCCGACCTCCCGTCCTCCTACTCCCTCAGACTTCCTGTCCTCCGACTCCTTCCGACCTCCTGTCCTCCCACTCCCTCAGACTTCCTGTCCTCCAACTCCCTCCGACCTCCCATCCTCCCACTCCCTCAGACACGCAGGAGGGACACGCACACTGCATAGGTCTCAGCCCCTCCAGCAGGGGGCAGGAGCGACACACCTGCACACTGTGTAGGACCCATCCTCTCCAGCAGGGGGCAGGAGGGACACATGTGGACACTATATAGGGCCCACACCCTCCAGCAGGGGGCAGGAGGGTTATACACACTTCATAGGTCTCAGCCCCTCCAGCAGGGGGCAGGAGCGACACACCTGCACACTGTGTAGGACCCATCCTCTCCAGCAGGGGGCAGGAGGGACACATGTGGACACTATATAGGGCCCACACCCTCCAGCAGGGGGCAGGAGGGTTATACACACTTCATAGGTCTCAGCCCCTCCAGCAGGGGGCAGGAGGGACACATGTGGACACTATATAGGGCCCACACCCTCCAGCAGGGGGCAGGAGGGTTATACACACTTCATAGGTCTCAGCCCCTCCAGTAGGGGGCAGGAGTGACACACCCTCACACTGTAGGACCCACCCTCTCCAGCAGGGGGCAGGAGGAACACACCAGCAGGCTACATAGGTCTCAGCCCCTCCAGCAGCAAGCAAGAGGGACACACCCTTACACTGTGTAGGTCTCAGCCCCTCCAGCAGGGGGCAGGAGGGACACACGTGGACACTGTATAGGGCCCACACCCTCCAGCAGGGGGCAGGAGGGATATACACACTGCATAGGTCTCAGCCCCTCCAGCAGGGGGCAGGAGGCACACACCCCCTTGATGTTGGATCAGTTCAATGTGCCAAGGGTGTTTTGCGTTCTAATCCTGCCCTCCCAAGTTCAAATGCCCCCCTCCCAGTTGGTGTCCTCCCCAGAGTTTATACAAGGCCTCTCCACGACTTTACCCAAGTCAGTCCAATACTGAATGAAACATGAGCCGTCGTACCCCAGCGCCTTTTTGTTGGATCAGCCTCTTGATCCCAGCTGGGACCAGTCTGTGCGAGTCCCCCAAGGGGTAGTAGTCTCTGGGGCAGTTATCCTGTCTCGGGGTGTGCAGTGTTACTGATTTTCGGGGCAATCTCCCCAAGCTCCTGAAGACACAGGTAACTTTTCCAGACACACAGGCATATATGATGGATCAGCTTGGAACCTCCAGTTTCTGGATAGGATCTTTTTTCAGTCAGTGTGTGGAATAAATTTTGTTCACAATGGAATGTGCGGAGGTGCACCACCCATAACAACACAAAACCTAGCGAGGAGTGCTGTGCCAATCAGCTGGGCAGCATTGGGAAGCTCTCCTGAGCAGTCACACAAGCACCCGGCTTACGGGGAAACATTGCCTGACATTGAGCATGGACGAGCGTCTGACATGGGAGTGATTCCCTGTGTGTTCAGAAGCATGGACCCTGGAAATGCAGCGTGGGGAGCAGGCAGTGAAAGGGAGCTAAAGGAGAAAGCTGGGAGGAAATTCTCCGCTTCCAGTTTGGATTTTGCCCAATGTTTTCACCCTGGCGCCAGCGTGCACCCCGACGCCCTGCGGGCGAAACGTTTCCGCCCCTACAGAAGCGCCGCTGCGAGCCAGTCGCCGGCCTGTCGGATTCCAGGCTTTCTGAACAGCTGAGCCAGCCTCAAATCCGCCTGAAACCCCTATGCTGAAGTGGGCAGGGCGATACAGGGCCCCTGCGATTGAGGTGTGTGTGACAGATTCCAGGCTCCTGGGCGGTCGAATGTCCTGCGGAAGCTGGCATCCCGAGAGGCGGGTCAGAGGGAAATCCCTCGGCAGGAGATGCAGCCTCCTGGCTTTTAGAATGTCCCCTGCTACTGACGGGCAGAGAGTCGGCTTCATAGGGCCCCCAATTTCAGTGATTCTGGGCAGTGCCCAGCCCAACGGGCCCCGATCCCAGTGATTTTGTCAGGGCAGCGCCTGGCCCAACGGGGCCCGATCCCAGTGACTCTGTATCTGGGCAGCGCCCGGCGTGACAAGGCCCTGGTCTCAGGGACTGTATCTGCCCGTGCAGGGCGAGTCGCGGGTTTTCCTGTTCCAGCCACGTTTCCTGCCCAGCGCTGGCTGCAGCGCCCCTGCCCAGTTGCTGCCATGGGCCCTGACGCCATGGGCCTTGCGCTCACCCTCCTCCTCGTCTGCGGTGAGTAGCTTCCCCTGCCCCCATGGGCACAGTGCCCCACCCAGCCCCCCACCCCACTCACGCCTGGGATGCGCTGGCCTAGGGCCCCGGGAGCGCTGCCGTTTGGTGCCAGGGTAGCCCCACAGTCCCCTCTCCTCCCCCCCACAGATGCCCTCCAATGCCCACCCCCATCTCCTCACAGCCCCTCCCCACTACCTCCCCTCCCACCCCAAGCCCTCTGCCCTGGCCCGACTGGCCAGTACCT